TTGACGACTTCACCGTCTCTGAAGAGGTGAGTCCCTCGGCCACTACCACTTCTGCTTAGCAAAAAAAAAACAAACTTTGAAAATGAAAACTTTTGTTTACTTCTGAATGAACCCCTTGAATGTTTGCTCAGCGACTCTTTCTAAGTTTGAAAAGCTGACACTAGTGAAGTATCCCTTTCTTTTCGTCTCATTCCTCCGACTTAACGATAACAGTTCGAGTGATTATGCGATAAGATTTCAGTGAGATTCGCGCATATTCTTCCCTTTCGCTTAAGATGTTGACCGAAAGGACGAAAACTGAATTTCTTTGGAAAAGAAACTGCAGGTTTCGGCGCGCTAGCGGAAGCCATGACAGCGTCCCGGTAGAGCGCCGAAAACCACGCGGGAAGTTATCATTTACGGCCCGGTGAATCGTGTGCGAAGGAATGCGCTGCTTTCAATGAATCAGCAAAACCATCCAGTTGAAAGAATCATGTGACTCTTTCTTTCATATGTGGATGAAGTTTGTCGGCGCTGGATCTGTTCAGAAAAATACTGGCTCTAGCTCGCAATGCAGGTACACGGTGACCCCAATATTTTAAATGACTAACAAGGGGAGTCTTTCAGGACATGGAGCGTTTTTTCAAATGGTTTTCTGAATGTTGTAGAGGCTCATGTGAGGAACACAGAACCATGGTCCATTTTCCTGAACCCTCCAGGAATGTCAAAACAGCGGGGAAGAAATGGTCCAAAGTTCGATCCTCCGTGATGACAAATTTTTGCAATTTATGTTGGCGCCTCCAAATTGCCGCAAAACACGACAATGACATCTATTCTCGACGATGGCGCCATTTGGCGGCAATCTGGGAAACTATATTGCAAAAATTAGTCATCACCGGGGATCGAACTCTGGACCATTTCTTCACCACTGTTTTGACATTCCTGGAGGCGTTCAGGAAAAATGGATCATGGTTCTGTGTTCCTCGCATGAGCCCTACAACATGCAGAAAACCATTTCGAAAAAGCGCTCCATGTCCTGAAAGACTCTCCTTGTAAGTTACATTGCTGGTTAAAAGCCATGCAGATTTGCCGCCTGGTTGAGCCTCCGAACTTGGATTTTTAATCTTTTAATAATGTTCTCTCAATTCGATGTTTTCCTTTGTTAAAAGATATGCCTCGTATGATGGGATTATTGCTTAGCGAAGAGCCTCGTTCTCTTTTATTCCCCCTTAATTTTAGCCTTTGTTGCTTATTTTTATTTTCTTTTCCTGACTGTAAGAACGATGAAATCGTGACATACCAGATGGGCACGACAGAACCGCGGATGTTCTGCCTAAGTACCGTGGAATGATGGCGCATCACTGCACTGCATCTGCATAAATCCAAACAAGGTCTTGAAAAGCTTTCGCGTCGGAATCTCCTTCGCAGTTGCGAAAGAGATTCCGACGCAATGGGCAAAAATGTGCAGGATCCTAAAATATCAGGGAAGGCCGATGACCAAGCGGGCTACAGCGAGATTCCATTCTCATTCTTCACCGCTGCTTTAAGTGACGCTTGCGCCGGTTTTCTAAACTCACTAATGTGCCGCAGTTCGCAGTGCGAAGGTATCCCATCTCTGATCGTGAGAGAACACGTTCGGCTAGCAAATAACGATCCTATTTCAAAAGAAGGCGCAAGAGCGGCTTGGGAAAAAATAGAAGTGCAGACTTTAGCGCAAGAACAAGCTAAAGGACACTGTTTCATCACATCAAAGCCTAATGCAGCGATGGATTAGCTGGTGGGCCGACACAGCTCTGTTCCGCTCATTTCTAACACCTGCGCGGATACTGCTCTGTCGACTAACGCCGAGATAAGCAATTGTGGTAGGAAGCTGTACCGTTTGACTAGTCATT